TTACTTTCGGTGCTCGTTTTGGGCGCTCTGCTGCCCCGAGTTGCTTGCTTTTGCCACGTGTCGGGTGATTGCGAGGTCGAGCCAAATTTCCCTTCATCACTAACCATATAAAAGTTGAAGCATTCACATCACTTTGATATAATAGTTACAAATCAAAGAACTTCACTTGGGTTCATTCTACGGCTAATCTCTGCAAAAGTCCTTCCAAAAGCTCCTCTGTTGTTGGTGGTGGTGACAAGAAAGTCTCCAAAAAGTCACGCCAAAGGATAGCACTAAAGATGAGGATGAAGAGAACTATCGTAGGGAAAATGTTGTTGAGCTCTCGCTCTCAAAGTCTTGGCCAGAGTTGCGGAGAGATGCCAATGGAGAAGCAAGAGTTAGGACTGTTCACGGGTCGGGTTGAGTTGGTTTACTGATATTTTTCCAACCAATCCGACCTAGTCGGGTTACCTGAAATTGAAACCAAAACCAACCCTGTGTTAAGTAAAATCGACCTGATCAATTTGAGTCAGTTTGGGTTAGTTTTTGCTCTACTTAGTGGTGACTTAGTTGTTGTTCAAGTATTCATTTCTGGTTCTATATTCTCAAAGGAAACCAGTATTTCCTTAATGTTTTGTTGCCCATCCATGGATCCAGTTGTGAAAGGAGTAGAGTTTGAGAGTACTATTTGCCAACTGGTGTCCACTTACACTATAGATATGAGAGATTTATAGTGTAACTACTAACTAGGAGCTAACTACTAAGTCGGTTCGGTTCAAATCGGTTTTAGTTTTCACACATGAAAACCGAAAACGAATCGAATCATCGGTTTATGATTTTTTATAACCCGAAACCGACCGGTGCTGAAGAAAACCTGGCCGACTCGGATTGGGTCAATCCGAGTTGGTCGATTTGGTCGGATTGGATCTTCTTATGAACAGCCCTAGCAAGAGCGACTTTCAACTAGAAAGTCTTCTATAGTAGCGGGTATTTGATTTCAGTACCCGAGGGCATCTGATTTCAGTACCCATTTTATAAAAGGGTAAAACAGGAATTTTGGAAAAAAATTATGATTTTTGTATTTTACCCTAAAAAAAGGCTTCTAGTAAGTGGAAGCAATTTTTTTTTTTCTTTTGATAATAAAAATTTTAAGTGGAACCAAGTCCGAGCATAGCTGTTTTTGTGTGTGTAAAGAGTTTGTTGATAGGCAGGAAGATTCTAAGATAAAGATCTTGTTGGAATGTGGGCGGGTAAATAATGGCAAGAGAATAAAGATCGGATTTGATTTTCGAAATCCATGCATTAAAGCAGTAGCTAAGGAGTTTAATGGTCAAGAGGTGGCATCACCTAATGCGGTAGTAAGTCAAAATCCATGGGAATTATACCCGCCAATTGGGTTGGATCAGAATATGCTACACCCTAACCTTAAATTGTTTAGGTTAGGATTGATCCGTGGGCAATTCAAGTCAATCTTAAAATAACTGATATATATATATATATATATATATATATATATATATATATATATATAACAAAATCAAAGGAATTAATCTTAAAATCTCAAATATAAAACAAAAATTCATAAAATAAAGATTAGTACAAACTTTTAAAAATACATAAATAATTCCAATTAGACCTGATAACAGAATCAACAGGTCAACCCATGACCCAACTCATTTTTTATTCAAGTTGGATCGAGTGAAGTTATTCTCAAATTCAGATAGTTAATATTGGACCTTAACCTTATTTTTTTTTTTGGGTTAGATCGGATTGGGTGATTGGGTTAACCTTTTGCTAGGTCTTTTTTGGATGCTCAAACAATTAGCTAGCCCTATGTGTATATGTGCGTGGCTGGATTTTTTTTTTAACATGGTGTGGTGTAGCTGTGTGGGTACAAAACTTACCTATCTCTGCATAGTGTTATGTAGGGGAGATGTTTCCAATTCACGGGAGGTAGTGTATTGTAGGTAGGCTTGGACAGAGTTCTTGTGGGCAAGAGATCCGGAGTCATATAATGGAGTGTTTTTCGAGTGACCCACTCTCCGTTCTACTACATACTGCTGCTAAAGGTTGGTGATTTGCAAGAACGATTTAAGAAATTGAAATAGATACATTAAAAGACACTAGGAATCAACTTGGTCTTGACTGGTTCTATGATCTAAGAAAAAGAAAAGAAGCGTATATCGTTTTCTATAGAAATTTGTGAAACCAATTTTCCCATAAAATCCTCATCCCTCAACAATGAAACTATGAAAGGGTCGATTTGGTATTCTTTTGGATTTGGCACATATTTTTTTTGATATTTTCATTATTTTCTCTTTAGTTTGGAATGAACCTAGGTATGTAGACATGGCCGAAATATATATAAGCAGGAAAAAGTTTAGAACTCAAACAACCTGGGCTCAACTGTGAGGCCCGGACCAAGTTGAATGCATTTGGGCTTGGGTTGACTAGCTCAGGCTCACATCTGTTGGGCTACGCTTTACGCTGGGGAAGCTTATGAATTATGATGGCTTACGTACTACGTAGAAATGCTTTTAGCCCAAGCGAAGCTCAATCATTCAACTCTTAGGCTCAGTTTGTAAGGAGTACATAAGTAAATAAGTGTAAAAATCTTGTATTTTTGTACTTAGGGCTCACGGTAAGAAGAGCCCTATGCAGTTAAAATCTATAAATCCGGTAAATCCGCATTACATTTAGCACCTTGGACATATTTTGTTTGAGACCCAATATCCAATACCCAGGAGCAAGGGATAAACATTGAAGCACCATTATGACTAAAAAAGAGATTAAGGTTGTTTTTGGAGTCATTTCTATTTCTACTTGAAACGTTTTGGGTTCATCAATACAAATTGCTATTAACACATTTTCACTAATTTGATCAGCCCAATAAGTTTACGATAAAAACATCAAGGATACAAATTAATACAACCTAAGTCAATCAAGAAGAATGTCCCATTCCGCTGAAAATTTTTCTTATTTTTTATCCGAGTCAAGAAACTAAAATCAGATTTGATTTGTTATTGAGACAATTCTTCACATTTTTTTTTTTTCTGATCACTTGTTTTTAACCACTTATTTTTAACTTAGGTTGCGTTTGGAAACGATGCAAATAAATATGAATGCAAATATTTAGAATGTAAAATGGTTCATATAAATTGCAAAGTTGGGTTAGTTTTGCACTAACAAATTTACCTCCTTACCAAACAGGCAAAAGTGAACCAGAATGCAAATTTACCCTGAACCGGATTTACACTCCATTTGCATCGTTTCCAAACGCAGCCTTAAGCAATCCCAAACATGGCCTTATGTGGCATTTGATAAATCTGAAATCTCTAAAATTAAAAAGATATTAAAAGTGTATGAAATTTGAAAAGAGACAGTTGTTTTTTGCCTTTTTAGAGGCTTTAAATAAAAAAAAAAGGTTGCTTGTGTTGGATAAAACCTTCAACATCTAAAATTCACTATTTTACCCCAAAATTAGACTATTCGGTAATTTTGATTTCAACTTGTACTATTTCATAAAAATAATTTATTAAATTCAAAATAATATTAAAAAATATGAATAAATTATAAAAATAAAAAAATAAATTATTAAAAGTTAAAATAATAATAAAGTCCATAAAACAATAAAAAGTATTTAATAATTAGAAAAATAATGTCTTAAGGAAGAAGAGGAAAAACAGTGGACGACAGAGGAGTTGTATTAGAGGAGTCACTTGTTTAAGACATTTGCCGCCGCTGGTTCACGAGAGTCACTTGCGACGGAGGAGTCACCGCTGCAGGTTTGCCGGAGGAATCACTTGCTGCCACTTTCAAGAGTTATAGCGGTGGTCGAAAATGAAAAACAATGGACGGAAGCCACGAAACCATAAAGGAAGAAGAAAAAGGCCTGAACTCGTTGTCGCTAGTTCGTCAGAGGAGTCACTTGTTGCCATTGGTTCGCTGCTATGTTAAGTGGAGAAGATGAACAGTGAGAGAGAAATGCAAGCATGTTTTCAAGGGTATTTTAGACTTTTGATCAGGTTTGAAACGCATTGAACACATTCAGCACCTGGCCCAAGTCTTATTATTTCAGATCTGAAAATAATTTTCAGACTTATACTTCCAAACACCTCTAAGGCTTAAAATGAATTCAATAGGAGTTTGATCCATCCATGAGATAAGTTGCCAAAGAAAGAAAGAAAAAGTCCCTTTCTTGCCAACCGAACCAATTTAACTTTGCAATTCAGTAGTGTACCTCTATAATTCTTCAGAATTCTATATCACTGTAGTAGAAATGCTGCTTGCTATGGGGAGATGCAAATGGATTCTCTGGCCCTGGGCTTTCCTGGTCACTGTAATTGGTGCCTGCTTGTCTGGCTTTGATCAAGTCATCACTCCAAGTCTCCATGTGAAAGTTTGAACAGTTGAATACAATAAGAGTTGGCTCCACATAATCTTTTAAAAGGGACCCACAAAAGCACCTAAAACATAATCTATAGCATGCACTACCCAACCGGTTGGTGGGCATAGTGGATCAATCTAGTGCAATCATGGCCCACTCACGTATATTAACATTTATAGAATATGGCTCCAATGGACCATGATTATAATCTAATCTTAACACACTTGAAGAAGTTCATCAAGAATTTCTTAGTTTGAATCTTTTAATATCATTAACATATTCAACCTCTTATAAGATCAAGTCACAAGGGCCAAGGCAGCCATCAAAAAACCAAAAAAAAGGCCAAGGCTAAACAAAGACTAAAATCATTCAAGAATTAACAGAGAGAGAGAGCTTGCCTTTTGTGTAAAAGGTTTTAGAAGAAACGTTGGGATGGCATTTTGACAAACAAGATTAAAGAAACGTCAGGTGCGGAATATACAGAGTGCCCAATATAAAAAGCCAGTTGATGTCCTCTAGTGAAACCAATTTCAGAAGTCAGAACGGTATGAACAACCCAAAAACTACTCTAAATAAAACGAGACAAACAGATGAATTGAAGAGAGAAAATCAAAGATACGCATTATCAGCCATCACTGTTCACCATTACTGTTTGAACTTGAAGTGATGATGTTATTGGAGAGGATGAACGGGAGAGCGCGAGTTCATCATCATATTCTTGAATTCTTCAAAACTTATCAACCCATCTCCATCGCAATCAACGCCACGAATCATTTTCTTACAGTCTGCGATCGAACACTTATCGTCCCCCAGACTCCTGAACACCGCCTGCAATTCTTCCGGTGATATAGACCCGTTTCCATCTGTGTCAAATATCATAAACGCGTGTCTCAGATCCTCTACAGCTTTTTCCGAATCAACCCCGTTCGTGTTCAAGTCAATAAACTCGTTTAAATCGATAAATCCATTGCCATCCAAATCAACCACCTTCACCATTTTCTGCAATTCTTCTTCCGTCACCGGGTTTCCCAAATTCTCCATTATCGAACCCAGTTCAGACCAAGAAATCTTCCCATCCCCATTCATATCAAATTTCTTGAAAACTGCTCCAAGTTCCTCGACCAGGGTTCTTGAGTTCCCCGGCTCGTGCAAAGAAGACGACCTCGAGCTACCCGAGTTCTCGCGAGGGGAGCCCGGAACAGACTTGCTCTTCTTTTTCCGAGAAAAAGGGGATCGAATACCCATAATTCTCTTCTATGTTCCAAGCGTGAAAAACAGCAGATATGTGTTCCAAGCGTGAAAAACAGCAGATATCGGAGAAGAAAGACTCCAGATATAGAGACCCAAAACGATACAAGGCGAGATAGACGGCGAGAGAGTGTGTATATTAGCCAGCTAGCTAGGGATGAAGAAGATAAAAAAGGTAAAGCTTCAAGGTGGTTAATAGTCAAAACAAGAACCCTTATCAGGAGGAGTTGCGTGAATCTGTATGCCGGTAGACTTGGAGCGTTACAATCTAAATTTAGATGGTTGAGTTTCGAGTTCGGAAAACTCCCAACGAGAGAGAGAGAGAGAGTATTTAACAGACTCCCTCAGCATAACTCCTGAGGGACACACGGTTTTCTAATCTTTCTTAAATTCCGATATATCTTCGTTAACTATCCTAATTGGTTTTGGAAACTTCTTGGAAGGTTCCTCAGTGGCATGCACGTTCGGTTCTGTAATATATAATCTATACTCAAGACTGTAGACCAAATAAACTAACCGATGGATTGGAATCTCTTTTGCCAGTACAAAATTAATGGAAGGAGAAGGGATATTCTGTCTGTGATCAAGGCGGAATAGAACAAAAGGTGTCCATTGTACAAGATAGATATTCCTTTTTTTTTGTGAAAAATAGAGGTTTTTAATTAGATTAAAATTCGAAAAGAGAACCAGCTTTTGGGAGTGAAGTGGGAAAAGAAAAGTAATTTTTTTGACTGGAATTATCCCGAGGCACTTTTCTATGTTTCTACTTTCTACCCAACACATGATCAACGGTTGATTTTCAGATTGACGGAGTCAAATATTAAGGTGGGCCATGGTAAGCGGTAGGTGCCTGTTGTTGTGTAATTTCTAGGGTTTTTATCTGAAAATCTCCCTCACTTTTTCGGGAACTTTAAAACACCTCCCGGGCAGGCATTTTTCTGTTAAAGCAAACAGGTCTCTACAAGGTTAATTACCGTAATACCCTCTTCAAGTACTGTGCTCCGTGGTCCCATATATGTGTTTACTAGTGTTTGATTATGCAAGCCTGTTATATATGTCAGTGTTTGTGGCAGAGTCAGAATGAAAAGAAATGAATTTAGGTAAATCTGTCAATGTTGGGGTCTAGCGTAGCATAGTACAGGGTAATACCAATACCTAACCAATTATTAATCAGTTTCATGCAGGTGGGAGGTGTTTAATCCGTCGCTTCCGTTGGAAAATGGAACCTAACTACATTTCGGTTAGTTTAATTGATTAAAATATGCATGTATGTTATATTATTATTAAAATGTATCAATATTTATAATTAAAATACATATTATGTATTAATATTATTATATGCTAATATTAATAGATAGTAATGTTAATATTAATGTCAATATTTACAATTAAAATATAAATATATGTATATGTTCAGGTTAATTTGGTTTTCAGTTTGGTTCGATTCAAATTTTTCCCAATCGATATTGATGGTATGCGATTTAGTACTCTTTGATGAAGGACAGTTCGAACGTTAGTCTGACGAGGTTGGATAGCCAAGTTGTAAGAAGACAATAGTCAGAGTACCTGAGATGGGCACTTCGATGCTTACGTCAACGAAGAGCTTTAAGAGAGCTAGAGAATTGTAAGAGTAAAATCGTGCATACCTTCTCTGAACAATGGGATGCCTTTATATAGGCACAGTTATCATGGCCTTCATGTTGCGTGTCCGAGATCTCCAGGAGGGCATGGTTTATTGGCCCGCCTCGCGTAGAGGTGATTTCGTGCTCGGAGACGGCTTCTGCATAAAGCGATAGAACTTATCCGGTTGCTTCCGAAGCGAGTGGGGCGGAAGTCAGCTCTGTCAATAAGGCAAAGTGATCCTGGAGGACGACGATAGACCACACATAGTGGAGGTCGGTCACTGCATCGTGTAGGTCACCAATCGGCCCACAGTCTTGAGCTTGTCGATCGTATCCTGCCTACGTGGTGCCAACATGTAATGCAATGGTTTTAGAATGCCACTTGGCGTATTGTCACCGATGGGCCAAATCACCCCTGATCAGATATTTATAAAATTACCAAACCAAATTGACTTATTAAGTTTGCAAACCAAATTTGAACACCCATACACACACAAGAGCAAGCCCAAGGGTGGTGGAGGGGAGCCATGCCCCCTACCTTGATACTAGGGTTATAAACTCATTGGATTTGGATTGGATCCAATTACATATACATCCGATAACAAAACCTCTCGATTGCCATTTGCATCCAATTATCATGTCTAATTTGGATTGGATTCAAATGTAATCCATACCCATCTTATTGTGTTTAAAATGACTACAAAATTAAAAAAAAGCTCAAAAAACTTAATTATTTTAAACTTATATATGTATAATAAATGTATATTAATGTAAAATATTAAACTTATCAATTGTGTGTACATATTAGATCCAATTTTTAATCAAATGTAAATTCTAACATCCAAATCCAAGATAGTCAAATTCAGAGTCGAATTGGGCATCAGGCCTTTGGAGTCCATTGACAACCCTACTTCCTAGAATCCATGTTGATATTTCACTTACAAATGACAATAAACTAATAAACTATTTATTTTATTAACTATATAATCCGTTTATAACAACAAAAACTGGATCGGTTCCAACCCAATTATTAATTGGAATAAAACCATTGAACCAAAACTGATATAATTGATTTAGTTGGTTCTATACTATCCGAATATACCTGACCCATTGATCACCCTATTATGGATATTTTCAATATAGAAAAATGGGTTCGACTATGATATGGGAAAGACATGATATCTAAAAAAATTTTGACTAGTTAGGGGTGCAAATGGATTGGATCATGATCCGATTCTATTCGAGATCCGATCCTATTTGGTCAAATTTGGATCACCCCTGTTTGGATCTTTGGATCGGATCGGATAATATGATTCGATTAGAAATTGTATCGGGGATCCCTTCTATCCAATTCGAGAAGATCCGATCCGATGTATATTATATATTTATAAATATAAATATATATAATACATATATATGTTATTTATTTATTTATAAATATTTTTATATTTTATTTTTAGAAATCGTATTATTTATTTTTTTTATAAAAACATGTATATATGATGAAAATAATTAAAAAATACTTGTATTTTTTGTTTTTACTTTATTTAAACTAGTATATTTTTTTAATAATTTATTAATTTTTAAAGAAAACAAGTCGGACCGAATCAGATTCAAAAGATCCGACTTACCGATAGGATTCAAATTCAAATCGAGTCCTATAAGATCTGATTGGATTTTGGATAAGATCATATTCAATATGAACAATGTCGGATTGGATTTGAATATACCCATACCCTGATTCAAATCTGATCAAATCCATTTGCATCCCTATGACCAGTCCAATGGAATCATAAACGTAATAGCCAATCAGGTATTACTTATCAAAATTCATGGGTGGGTTTTGATTGGTTAAAACTCTTCCCATAACATGTCTTTCCCGCATCATAAATTTTCCTTAGTTAATGTTGCTGCCAAGGTTGGGTCAAGGGAAACAATGTAATTGTGCTTCCATAGATGAGGGCTAATTGAGTCCGAGGGCTGATAGATTTAGGGGCTCCAATGTTTGACCTGTGACCAAGAGAACACGTCAAAGGCCCCGGGTGTTATCCCAAGGGTCGAGACTCCGACAGTCAAGTTAGTAAGTGCGTAGCAAGGGGTCGGATGAGGCCTGAGTAGAGGTAGCTTAGACGAGGTTAGTAGAGAGCTACGGAGAATAAAGAAATAGAAGCCAAGATAGCTTACTTAGGGAGTGACACCACTTATTTATACTTGAGCTCACCAGGGATGAGCTGGAGTTGGTCAGCAGCAAGCGGCCAGGATTACTCCCCAGCCCTGCCACATGCACCTATATCATTTGCCCCCCCACTCTTGAGGCCGTGGTGGAGGTCTGAGTAGGGACCTCAGCTTTGGTCGAAGAGAACATAACACCATTATCGGGAGGCGCTAAGTGGTGTATTTCAGCGAGCACCTCAGCTTCGGCATTGTCGGAGATAGCCTTAGATTAGATGCACGAAGGCGTCGACATCGACTTCCAAGGGCTTCCCTTAGTTGCTTTAATGGTAGATGTGTTGCTAATGACTCCACCTCTTGAGAGAGTTAGAGTGGGCCAAGGGCTCGGTACCGTGCCTAATACGGGTACGAGATGCTTGTGCCCTCGGTCATGTGCTTCGTAGAAGTATTGACGATCCCGTGTGCAGGTCAAGCGTCATCATCGATTGATTGTTGTCATGTGTGATGCAAGCGATGAATCGACTTGTCGTAGTCGTGCACGAGACAAATGTTGGCATCAATGAGTTGGGACCATATGTGGAACATATGTCGGCGTTGACTGGTCGTAGCTATGTCCGAGATGAGTGTCGATTCGTCTAGGTTGGGTCATTCCTGGCCTAGAGTCGGTGGACGAACTGGCTGAACCGCTCAACATCGTTTTGCATCCCCTAGGTCGACGACGTGTGTTATGCGTCGGATTGGGCTATCAGGTCGGATGCTCGTAGCACTCGAGGCAAAGATCACCATTTGCCTTCTTCGTCTTGAGCTTTATGAGACCTGGCCATCATCTTTAGCCAATTCTTTAACCTTTAGAGACCTCAACCAGTAGGTAAAGGCTCCAACCTTAGCCATGTCTTACTCTAACTCCGGCCTTGAGTGCTACGAGCTTCCTAACTTCTCAAGCGCTAGCTCACCTCATACCACCACATCCGTCAATAATAGCGAGAGCTACAGTAGTGAGTTCGAGGGCTTACCTTCGAGGCCCGAGATCTAGGTTCTGAAGGAGAGAACTGCTCCTAGAGGCATCGAGTGCAGCTGGCAGGGCAATGAATCTCCCCATGAAAGTGTCAATAAATAAACCGACTAGATTGGGTCGGTTGAATAAAATGAGTCAAACCGACCCAACGCGACCCGTGAACACCCCTATCGAATTGCTTGTTGTTGTTAGTGACAAGCATGTAGGGGATGCCGAAGCGACAAATGATGTTCTTCCAAAAGAAATTCTAAATCATCCTAGCTGTGATGGTTGCCAAGGGCTTGGCCTTGACCCATTTGGTGAAGTAATCAATTGCGAGGACAAGGTATTTAATGTTCCTAGTGGCTTGAGGGAAGGGTTCGAGGAGATCCATTCCCCATTTGGCAAAGGGCTATGGACTACTGAGGGCTAAGAGGGTTGTGGCTAGCTGATGGGAGATGTTAGAGTGTCTCTGGCATCAGTCACACTTCTGCACTAGCCCAATTGCATCATTCTGTATGGTCGGCCAAAAATACCCATGC